AGAGACTAGGTGTATAGATTACTAAGTAGACACTTCTTGAAATCTTAGCAGCTTGACTTCTTACCTAGGTGGAGATATCTCCCACTTCCATGTATAAATTATATGTAAATGCTGCTTCAGTTAGCTTACCAGTGGTTCTCAGAATTTAGAAATATGACTTGATGGCATACTTCTTTTTCTTTGTGGGAGAATGCTTTATGGGCCCACTGGAATAATTATTCACTTTTCTTGCCATTAGTGAAAAAAGCTGACAAAACTTTAGGAAAATTGCACTAAGTGTGAGTATGAGAGTATAGAGTAGTTTATAGTTATCTAACTCCCAAGTAATTTAAAGCTAAAGAGGCTTCAAAAGATCTTTCTTTTATGTGTCTTATGTAAGAATCCTTTTTAACATTCTAAAACTCTGCGTCATGAAAGTGACTTTTTGGGGGGATTTTAAAAAGGGGCTATTTGAAGGGTGGCAGTATAGAGTTTGAGAGGGTAGCTATTCTGAAGAATGATATTACATCAGATGTTTCTGGATGAAACTAACAATGAAGATTAAAGTATTTTACTTTGTTTTATAAATTTCTCCTCATCTAAGTTATTTAAAAAATAGTACAAGGAGTGGGCATGCCAGAGGTCACCAAAGTGAAGCAGAAATGGGCCAACTTGACTTTCAGCCAGTTAAGTGGTGAATAGAAAACTGATTCCTGGGGTTTTGTTTTGGTGGCTGGCCACTGTATAGGGATCCTTGATGTTATCAGCACCACCCTCTAACCAAGTGAGCTAACCGGCCAGCCTTTGATTCCTGGGGTTTTGGCCAACCGGAGTGATGGCAAAAACACTGAAGTAGCACCTGAAACTTGCATATAAGTAACCGTGAATCTGTTTTATATTAATATCTATTCAGTCTGTAGTGGTTGGTCTGTACCTATGGCTTTCCAAGAGACGTGATATAATATCCAGCCCTGAGGCAGTTTTCTTTAGAGGTGTACAGCCTCATCCTTTACTCAGTATATAGCAGCAATCATTTGAGTTGCCATGTTGTACAAAAGTTTGAGAATCATTATATTAATGACCAAAAGCTTTCTAATTATTGTCTTACCAAGAAAATTCAGTTTTAACATTCTATCCTATTTTTATAAATTAAGAGATGGTCTACTTATGTTTTAGAAGAACCACTCAAATTTAACAAGACTTTATAAAGTCTTAAAATTTAGGATCTTTACCTAAAAATTACTTACCAGAAAAATAAACACACAAAAACTTGACCTCATTCTGTAACCAGTTTTATTTAGCATTCTTATAGAGTACAAAATAAATACTTGGCTAACTCAAATCTAACAAAACTATATATGTATTTTTTCCATAGGAAAGCACAACGAAAAGACAAAAGTATCCGGAGTCTCAAGAATTTCTTAATGAAGTAAAGAGTTTCCCACAAAAATACAGCTATACGCAATTCCCAAATTCATTTTATGAACCCCATCAAGATTTTACCACTCCAGATGAACTCAATAAGTCAACATCTCTATCTTTGTATACATATAGTTCCACAACTGGTATGGGGGTCACAGACTTAGAAAGTCGTTCGGGATGGTGGCCTGCAATTTCCCAGTTTACTCTTAGTGAAGAGACAAAGGCAGATATGTATTATTATGGCCCCATCATATTTTTCCTTTCGATGTTAATAGTTCTTGCTTTATATTTTCTCTGAAGACGTCAAATAAAATCCTTTTGATAATTTTCAAAAAATTGTTACATTCTTATTTCAGGGTTTCCTCCCAGACATTTTCAAGGTAATTGGCTTTAAAAAAAAA